CGGCAGAGCGCGCTGCATCCTCGGCAGCCAGCTGCCGCTCGAGTCTCTCAAACTCCTCATCAGCATCGACGTCGTCCCCCTCAGAGAAGAGCTGCCGCTCTAGGAGTTCGAAATCACTGCCGGAGCCGGCGTCGGGCTCTACAGCCGTACCTAGTTCTGTAGGCGAATCGGTCACCGGGTCGGCTGGAGCAGGGTGCTCAGCAATGGCCTCGCCTGAGCCACCCTCAATCGGCTCCTCGCCCGCCATTTGTCGCTCGAGGAACTCGAACTCATCATCTGAGTCCAAGCCTAGCTCGGTGGCCGGTTCGGGAGCAGCCGCCGTCTGAGGACCAGCCGGTCCGCCGGCATCCCCGGACTGCGCTGCGGCCGGGGGCGCGGCGGCGGGCTCAACTGCTATGACGGACGGGTAGGTGGCGTCTGACTCGTCCGAGTGCTCAGAGGTGGGCTCCTCGTCCTCGTCCAGCGCGCGCCGGTACACGTCCTCAAAGCTGGAGGCGCGCGGCAGCGTCCGCGTGTCGAACCGGTCGCCGATGCGGCCCTCCAGCCGCTCCGCCGAGACAGCGCTGGCGCCCGGTACGGCGGCCAGCTCCATCTCGTCGTACAGGCGCTCGAAGCTCGACGAGCGCCCCGGAGCGGCGGCGCCTGCGTCAGCGGCCGGGGGCACGGCACTGTCGGACTCCCTACCCGTCGCACCGGCCTGGGCGGGCTCTGGCGCGGCGATGCCACCCGGCTGATCAAGTTCGCGGGTCGGCTCCGCCGCGTGGCCATCGGGCCTCACATACAGACCGGCACCCGGCAGAGGAACGCCACGGCCCCCCTCGACGACAACCACCTCAGAGTCGTCGCCCTCGTCATCGCCTTCAATGACATAGAGGCCAGAGCCCGGGGCCAGCGTGTCCAGATCATCCACGTCGATATCGAGGTCACCGCGCAGCGCGTGCTTGAACATCCTGCGCGACTGATCGCGGAAATAGCTCTCCGCTTCCGGAGTGCCCGCGATCACGTCCGGCTGCAGCACACGCTCCATGACGTCACTGGCCGATGACGTCACAGACGGTGAGCGTGACGTCACCGACGGGGAGCGGCTGGACGACGGCCGGGGGTAGTCGTCCAGCAGCTCTGGTGGGGACGACGCCCACGAGGAGACCGACTGGCGGCCGGCCGCGTCCTCGGCGGGCCGCTCCGCCGGTGGCGAGGGCGTACGGAGCGCCTCGCTGGGCTCCGGGGCGGCCTGCCGAGCGGCAGCGGCGCCCCGCAGGCCCGGCGAGCCCCTGCCGGCCGCGCCTGCTGGGTGAGAGGCGAGCGTGGCGTCAGGGCGCCGCGCCCTGTCGGCGGTTAGTGCACTCCACACCGTGCACGGTCCGGCGCATGCAGTGCCGGAGCCACAGACCAAGACGAAACTAGCTGGCTACAGAGGAGAACATAACCGCGATGACCGCCCTACAAATGTAGTCACTGCGACCACCAGAGAGCGACGGTGTGCCAACTAGTGTGTCATAATGCTACCGTACAGAACTGACGAGATTTCCCAACATAAAGACAGTGTTCGATCTGTGAGGCGCCGGAGGTTCCAACTGGTTCACAGACACGTTTGAGCGGAAACAGAGACGGCAGACACAGAGTGTCCAGTCACACAGAGTAGGGCCACAGGTCACCAGGAGCACAGAAGCGACAGAGAAGACACTGACCCTAGACTGGAACATCCACAGACTTCTGCAATTGGTGTCCAAATACCATCTTTGGGGAAGGAAATCAAACTTCGCTGATGCACAAAAATACAGCAGATATTCCATGCCAGAGATGCATAAAACATCGCCTGTTGTGTTAATGGTTAGCAACATACGCCGAAAGACAAACTCTAGCACCGGACAAACGTTGCATACGAACCAGAGGCGCTGGTTGCAGGCGAAGGCAAGAGCATCCACTGGGTTAGCTAAGGGAACCCCACTCTGAAAGACCGGCCACATCGCCGTCCTCTATCTTCAGAGTATCGCGTCTTACCTCGACCTTCTCCCTGGAGAGTGGCCATCAGTCCCAGGTCATCGGGACGCTGCGCCTCCGCAGACCTGGCCGCCACTTCAGCGCGAGTCACACACCTCTGGCTCTCGAAAGGGCCGGCGGGCGGGTTCCGGGCCGCCGCCGAGCCAGCGCGCAAGGCCCGCTCGAGCCGGCCCGGCTCCCCGCTCACAAACTGTCGGATGCTGCGGATCTCGACGGCCTCGCAGCCCGGGGAGCGGGTCCGGACCACCAGCCGCACCTGGGCACACACCGGTCCCTGGTCCTCCTCCTCTGTGGAGTCAGTGCGCTGGATGTGCGGCCCCAGGGACTCATCCGAGCCGCTCAGGGTCGGCGGCCCGAGGGACAGACCGCCGCCGCCCCACGAAGCGTCCCCCAGCGGACTGCCCGGCGGGCTGGGACCGCTGGCGAGGCTCGATGGGCCCCCGAACGCCACCGCCGAGCGCCTCACCGAGCCGTCCGCCTCTCGCACAGAGGGAATTATGTTCTCTCTCTGAGATGAGATCCTGCCTGGCTTATCCTGGAAGAGAGCTTTGCCTTCTCCAAGGGCAGTATCTCCGCTTTCCTCCCCCACGAGTGGATCTCTGCCCACCTCCGGTTCGGGAGAGGCCAGGAGCGAGTTGGCCCAGTCCTGCTCTGGTTCCTCGGTCAGGGAGAGGCTCCGCAGGCCCTCCGCCACGTCGGCCAGCTGTCGCGCCACGCTGATGAGCCGGCACTGGTCCTGGTCCAGCTCGGCGCCAGCCGGCAGCTCCGTCAGGCTGATGTCCGGCGCCGTCTCAACCTCCGCGTCCGAGGAGTCCCAGCCCGCAGGACCGGCCGCCGCGTCCGCGAACTCGCTCAGAGGGCTCACCGAGGCCGTGACGTCACCCGTCAGGTCAGCCGTGACGTCAACAGGCAGGGGCTTCTGGACAGGAGGGAACCCAGCGGCGGATGTCGGCACGGCTGTGGCGGTATCATCCGAGTGACGAGGGAGACTCCCGAGGTCACCGAGGTCACCAGAGAGCCCCAGGTCACCGAGGTCACCGGGCAGAAGGTCGCGGTCGGCGACAGCCAGCGGCGCCCAGCGGGGGCTGCCCGGTCCCCCGGCGAGTGACGTCACCGGCCACTCCTCGGTGATGGTCAGCGGCGGCCAATTGGCGGCGTCCGGCGGCAGGTGTGACGTCATCTCAGAGGTGGTCCGAGGCGGCCAATCAGCGGCGTCCGGAGGCAATGGTGACGTCATCTCGAGCTCAGAAGTGGTTAGCGGTTGCCAAACAACTGCGTGGGACAAGTGCAAAGAGTCGACAGAGGTGGCATTGTCGTTAGCAACTGTTGAAAAGTGAACGGTGCTACGACAGGCGATTGGGAGCACATTGGCGTGCAAGAAAACGCGACTATGGAACGAGCAGTGTTATCGGGCAGACAGAGCTGTTATTTGGAAACATTCAGTTACTTTGGACGAAACAAACACTGCCTTTATGTAGGGAAATCTGATAGAATTGAGTCACAATGAAAACTGGAGAGACTAGACAACTGGAAATAGAGCTGCATCGAGCCGCCAGAAAACTACGGAGTGGACCTAGTGTGAGACGGGCACTACGTTGGCACTGTGGAGAGAGTCTGACAGTCGTGCCGGCTCGGTGTGAGAAAGTTTCGGTGGCGGAGCGACCAGGCGGGTCGGAGAACCCAGCTAGCTGGTTCAGCGGAGACGACCTCACAGACGGCGAGTGTTAGCGCTACGGGACGTCACTCGGATTAGTGGTCACGCACCGCCGTCAATGTCCACTTTGTTCGGAATCTACTTCAAGTACTTTATCCAGAATATAATAAAAAAACATCAAAATGATATGAAATTGATATGAAGGTAATTGAATATTTAATGCTTGTCGACCATGACGAAAAAATGACTGTAGAACGATGCAAAAGCGAACATTTTCCCCCAAAACGGGCATGGCCTCTCAATGATGCTATGAAAAAGCAAAAATCCCGACTTACAGAACAAATGAACCAAATTCGTCTGCAGTCACATGAGAAAATAACGAATATTGTCGAGAAAATGGCGAATTTTGTCCGAGAACAAAGTGGAGCATTGTTGCGCCCGAACCTGTACCTTGCGGCGGAGCGGAGGCGACCGGCGCGCCATCTGCCGAAACATCTGTGTGAAGGCAGCTGGTCAGACCAACTAGCAGTTACAGCAGCGACCGCCGGCGGCGCCACTGTCGGCCGAGCTCGGCGGATATAGGTAAACTACGCTGCGCTGTGCTAACTGGGTTTGCCGTAGAGGTGGGCGGGAGGGGGCGCACTCACTCTCACACTCTCACACTCTCACACCCTGCTGCCAGCTGCGGGCCTGTGGGCTCAGAGATCACGAACAGACGGGCACGAGCCAACCATACTCGCTCAGTGGGGCACTCCACACCGCTCATACTAGGAGCACAACACTCACTCACTCACGGTGAAAAGGAACCAGCTCACTCACTCACATAGGCAGAGGAGAGGTCACTCATTCATCGCATGGAGTTGCAGGTATTTGGAACTGGCAGCGCTCGACCAATCTCTCTGTGCTAACATACGCTCGGTACCTGTGTTACGAGGTCGACACCCGCTCACACATCACGGTAAGGCAGGACCACTCGCTCCATGTGACACACAGTGTGAGAGGCCGGCCCTCTGAGGGCCCGCGCCGACTATAGGCTCCGTGAGCGGGCCTTTGAGATAGCATAGTCCGATTGGACCGACTACTGGGTCGCTCGAATGGTGGCAGGGGTTAACTAGTCAACAAAACGAGTCTGAGATAGGTATATTTATAAGTAACTTTTACAGAATATATATCCGATGTGTCACGGAGTGGGTAGTGATTTCAAAAGCATTTTCTTCTGAGAACCCGCTTTATTGCTATCTTGTATGTTTAGTCAGCCGCACCACCATTCGAGCGCCCCAGTAGGTACACGGCCATTAAATCATACACAGCATCTAAGACGAGTTCGATTCGTCTCGGTACATACCTTTCTCCTCGACGTTTTGCGCAGCCTCGGACTTCTGAAGATCTCCTGAAACACAAGGAAGAGAGAAATTAGACTGGCGCTGCACGACGTACGCAATGACTGGCTGACTTACCTGAGCTTTGGACGACTGATCATCAGCAGATTTCTGAAGATGTGATTACGTACCTGTTGGGAGGAGAGCAGAAGACAGGTAGGTACCACCTCACCCCTGTATTTGCACTCATGTGAGACTTGCAGAAACTAACTAAGGGAGCAGACGTGGCTATTTTGAGGATATTTCAGCGAGGGTAGGTATATGGCGACTGAAGGGGCCCTGTGACCGTATTTCAGAAGCTGTGTGAAGAATTGCTTAAGGATATTTATTTGTGGTAGTCCCGACTTCTGTTAGCGGGATGGTATGACAAAATCGTGCAGCTATACTGAGTTATTGCGGTCCTATCGAGCAAGTTCTACGCTTCATCCCACTGACTTTTTTACTTGACCTGTTCCCCCCCCCCCCCAAAAAAAAAAAAAAATATGTGACAGGTTGCGGGGACTAATATCACCGTTATAATAACACTGGAGCCTGCCACAGGTGTGTTGCTGACCTGCCCTCCCTGTTTGCCCTCCTAATCAGACGATATCCCGACCGCCCTGACGCAGAGATGGCCCGCTGACCCACCCTGACCTGGCCGCGGGGCCTGACCCGGAGATAGCCCGCTGTGTCACCCTGACCTCCCCGCTGACCCACCCTGACCTGACCCAGAGATAGCCCGCTGTGTCACCCTGACCTGGCCCAGAGATTCCCCGTTGTTCCCACCCTGACCTGACCGCGGCGCAGAGCTCAGAGACGGTGCGTACCATCTGAGCGGCGGTCCCAGAAGCGGCGGCAGTCGGCGTACGTCAGCGAGCGCCGGGTCGGTCCGGCGCGGCTCAGAGGACACTCCGGGACAACCGCCGCGCGGCGGGACAGCCGCTCCAGTCTCTGCTGCACGGTACCCGCCGGCACCAGCGTTCGCGGCGGCAGCGGCGGCGGCAGCGGGGACGGCGGCGGAGACCGATCGAGGGCACCTCCCAGGCAGACAGTCTTGTGGAAGCTGACGAACAGCGCAGAGACGCAGGCGGGGCTGTGCACCTCCAGCCGCAGCTCCGTCCGACACCCAGGCATGGCCGCAGGCTTCTGTAGTTCTCGATAGTGTTTCGGTGTCCGATGGCGCGCCAACTCGGTGCGCGCAGTGGAAGTCGTCTTCGGACGGCGTTGTTGAAATGGTCCGGTGGTCGGTGACGTTGGTCGGTGATCGGTGTCAGTGATTGGTGATTGGGGTCGGTGCTACCGTGGTGCCACTGGTGCTCAGTTTACAAGGGCGGGAGGTTCGGAACAGTGACCCTCGGTGCTCTGGGCCGGGTGCTCGGTGTTCCGAGGGACTCTACTCTGGCACAGTGGCCTCTGCTTAGCACGGTGCTCTACCCGGTACGCTGATAGAGGGTTTGGGAACGTGATAATTTGGTGCTGACGTTGTGTCAACGTGAGTGATATTATTGTGTCATAAGCTGCTCACCTATAAGAGGAGGGTATAAATATCGGAAGAAAGGAAATATATACACCTGGATGGCTATAAGGTTTGATAAATACAAAACGTAAGTGAAATGCTTCCTATTTTTTGTTGCTATTTAAACATAAGAACTACGAACAACCTAAGCCTACAGCAAAACAATCGTCTACTTGGTTCCGTTCTGCATCCTGCCGCCACGGGCTGCCGGTTTCCTCCCGCCAGCCGCCGACCGCGCCTCGCCTCCCTGGCGCCGTCTACCGGCGGCCTGAGGAACCTCTGTCTCGGTTCTCCGTCCACCAGGCGGCGCGCGGGCCTCCAGCGTCGCCCCATGCTGACGCCGGCGCCTCGTCTGCTCCTGTTTGCCCGACTCCTGAGAGCCGCTCCCTTCCTTCTGCTGTTTATTGCGCTTAGTTTCCTGACCAGACGCCTTGGCAGACGGCTCAGTCAGGTCGAGCAGGTACTCCACCATAACGGACGACCTCCTCCTGCGGTACACCTCGCCCAGGGCCACCTCCTCTGTGTCGGTCAGAAGGGAGGCCAGGTCCAGGCCGTCCAGCTTCTGGCGGCGCTTCTTTCGTCCCGGCAGCGCCACGAACGTCTCCCCTTCGCGCAGCGGAGCCGGCTCCGGAACGTCGATGGAGAAAGACTTGAAGTCGGGCATGCCGCGGCGACGCAGCTTCTCGCCATCCTCCATGACGACCAGTGTAGACTCCAGGAGGGTTAAGGCCGCGTGAACACCGGGCGTCGACGGACGTCGAGGCATATCGGCTATCCCGAGGTAACCATCCGTCTCAATGTCTTCTCCTTCGGTGTCCTCGCCAGTGCTGAGCTCGTCTTTCGGCTGCATCCCTTCGGGCAGAGGCTCTTCACTGACACCTTTGTCCGAAATACGAACCATGTTCCTCCTGGGGGATGGCAGGAGGGAGGCGTCCACGCTCAGTCTGCGCAGCGCCTCCTGGAGGCTCCAGCCCTCCTCATCGGAGAGGTCCGAGTCGCCGGTGGACTGGCTCCTGTCGCCCGCCTGGTTCGGGCTCGGGACTGTGGAGAGCCGGCGCAGCGCCGTGTCCAGATCCCACTCCTCGGAGCCGGTCGAGTCCGTGTCCAGGTCGGTGCCGTCCGTGTTGGGGAGTCGCTGCACCTCCTGCACACTCAGACTCTCGCGGCGCGCTGTCTCGACGATCTCACGCAGCTCCTGGTCCGGGTCGTGGTACGTCTCCAGGCTGGACACGCGGCCCGTCAGATCCTCCAGCCGGGCGAAGAACGCCGCCGCCGCAGCCGCCGCGGCCGTCGCTGAGAATGAGGGTCTCTGGCGCGCGGCCGAGCGGCCCACGGCCGGGTCCTCGCCGCCCGACAGGTACTCCTCGTCGGTGGGGAGGCCGCAGAGCTCCTCCAGGCCACAGTAGCCCTCCGGCCAGCGGTGCAGCCGGCGCTGTACGGCGCTCAGCTCCGGCGACGGGCTCGGCGTCTGACGGGACCGCCGACTCGAGGACGACTCGGGACGACGGCGCGGCGCCGGCGCCGGCGGCGACTGGGCGTCATCAGAGTCGGCGTCACCGCCCGGGACAATAAACGTCATCTGCTGGGGCACCGTCTGCCCGCGGTCCTTCTGCCGGCTGCGGCGGCGGGGACCGCGGCGCCGGCGGCTCGGTTTCGCTGCTGCGGCCACTGCGCCGCCGGTCTCGGCCACCGGTGACGTGACCGCAGTTGGCGGCGAGGTTGACGCCGTTTCGGGAGTGACCTCCTCCTCGTCAGTGGTAACCGCCACCTCCGGCACAGGCACGGACAGTCGGTCCGTCTGCTTTCCGGCCACGAACGTCACGGTGTCAGCGTCATCCACCGGTGTGGTGGCCTGCTCTCCGGGCGTCGGCGGCGGCGCCTTCCTCTCCTCCTCCTCTGAATCCTCGCACAGCTCCTCATCAGTGACTCCAGGCGGAGCGGCGGCCATCGACAGCTTTCGCAGCTCTCCCTCTGCGGGCAGCACGGTGACACTCTCGCCCCCGCCGGCCGTCTCTCGCAGCTGCACCACCATCGGCGACGAGTCGGGCAGCGTTACGCTTCCCCGGGATCCGAGTGCAGCCGCGGCGGCCGCAGCCTCGTCAACTGACCCCAGCGATTCCTGGTCCGTCTCCCCTTCGTTTCCGGGGTCGGAGGGTGGGGCCAGGGAGAAGCCCGTCGACTCAGGACGGTCGACGTTCTCAGTCTGTCGGGACGGCCCCGCCGACTCGTCGGACGAGCTCGACGACTCGTCGACGTCGACAATCTGCAGGTCAGGAACCGTCGGGGCGGCGGCGGGGGACCTGGAGCCCATGGCGGCAGCTAACGGAAACTTAGTCGGCTCTAATACCTAGTGAATACTAGGGTCAGTGCGATATGGCGAGTGAAAACTACGCTTAAGACTACACTACGCAAAATATGCTCATTGGATAAGGTGTTGGGTAATAAAGCGTCGTCTTCAAAAGAAGTGTCAGTTTCGATCTGGAAGGAGAACGCAAAACGCTTTGTTGACAGCAGATGAGATCATACCGTTGTAGAGGTACTGATATTCTTTCTTGAAACGTTAAAAACAATAGAGTTAACAAGCTGAAAGTTCATTCGTTTGGACGACCATATGATAGAAGTTAGTATCTGACTGTTAATTCCTGTTACACTATACAATAACGTCTCATTGTAAAAATGTGTCTAAAAATACTAGTGTTCCTAGTCAGTGATTTGTATGCACGGTATGCACTTCCAAGTAATTGATATCGAAATTCCCAGCCATCATTATGTCGTCGGTGTCCCCCCAGTTCGGCGCTATTTGTCGTCTTCTTTCGTAGTTCTAGTCAATCACCAATGCGTCCAAACCAGCAGCATTCCAGTCACATCAGCAGGTAAGTAGGTATCGGTTGAACTGTTACGGCCCAAGTCAGTGACTGTCAATGCTGGTGGCAAGGCACTTTGGAGAACTATCTTCCCAGCACCACACAGATCAGGTGAAACGGAACAATGTGTATATCGCCTTTCTACCGGCAACGCTAGGTACACGGGCAGAGAAGCAGTAGCGTTCTAGGGCCGCGGGTCTCAAGCACACTCAGTTGGAGCCGGGCGAGAAAAATGCACACCACTCTGTCGCAGAGGCTCGGCAACTTCTGAATCATGTCAGCAGCCGAGGCGGGAAGCAGGGTGCCTGGGATGCCATAAGCTTTCTACCGGATTTTGATTGGCAACGACAGCAAGTCACAGTTCCGCCAAGTCATGAACTCGGAAGTTTCAGAGCCACTGCGGCAGACGTACCCTGCGCGGCGCGATCGAGCCGCCTACGAGGCCGATCCACGGTTTTCGCGTCATTATCGCATCGCTGTGCCCGAACAGGAGAAACGTGCACCGAAGAGCGAGAAGCCGGTGGATGGCGGGTGCCACACGATAACAGGTGCCACCGATGGACGGAGGGGTAGAAGAGGAAGTGGGAGACACGTGGGAGAGAAAGGTGGGTGCGGGTGAGACGCGGCGGCGGCTCGGAGCCGCGCAGCCGCG